AATATAGACACCCCCAACCATAAAATTATTTTCATCATTACTTCATAACTGTAATTTTGCTACTGGCATGAGTTGGAATGTTTGCATCTGTGTTTTCCAATGGTCCAAGGGTCTAGGGTAACACCTGTGAAAGGGTCATTTGATCCACCCCAACGGGGTCATGACCCCATTGAGAACCATTGATCTGGACCACACCTGAGTTCACCACTTCTGCCCTTTCACGTCAGTCAGAGCCACCACTGACTCTCAGTGATGGCTCCTCTCTAAATTCTGCTCTTGTCCTAAGCCTTGACTTTACCATCAGTACAAATGCCACAATAGGTCTTTTCATTGCAATTGGCTTAGAGAGAAACTCTGCCCAACACTCTAGTATAGCTTCCAAATTTACCCTGATCTAAAGCCTTTCTTGTTGCCTAGAGTCCTTTGCAGTTTAGTCCTAAGCCATTATTGTGATGTCTTCTATTTCTACAGCTTCTTCCTTGAGATGAATATGTTTTTGCCTCAGCCTCTTTGCAATTAATATTCTCTCTTCCTAAGAAAAAATTCTTTCAGAGTCAGCCATTGGCTCTTTTCTTCTCATGCAATCTTGTCTCTTACCTTCCAAGTCTTCCACGTGTCCAGATTTGACAATATGCTCATTTAATAATACTCATACCAACATTTAAAATGTAATAATAACCACAATAGGAAATAGTCATTGGAGACTTTCTATGTTGCCCATGTACCCCATGACCTACAATAGTTCTTAGCTTAGATGGTATCTCAAGTACGATATCAGACATCTTCACTGAGTATTCAAGAGTAATTCTCTACTCCTCACTCCCCTGTATTCCACCATGGCCACTTTATACCATTCATTTTCTATTTGTGGTATATACACTTATACACGTGCATGTGCACACCTGTGGGGTGTGTGTGTGTGTGAGTGTGTGTGTAGTTGAGCATGCCCATGTGGAACCAGAGATTGACATTAGGTGTCCTTCTCTATTGCTCTCTACCTTCTGGAGACAGAGTCTTTCACTGAACCAGAAGCTCCCTGGTTGGCAAGACTGGCTGGCCAGGGAGCTCCCCAGTTCTGTCTGTACACTCCCATCTCTGGGATTACAGGTACGTATTTCCACCTCAGGCTTTTCATGTGTGTGTGCTAGGGATCTGAACACAAGTATACAGGCCTGTTCAACAAGCATGCTTGCACTGAACCCCTCATTTTCTACTGATGGTACAGAATTTTTGCTAGTACCTTCTCCTAAATGTAAGATATTTGACAGCAGAAACCACATCTGGTTGTCTTTATATGATGATCAGTTCATAGGGCAGCTGCATTATAATCCTCTTCAGGTACTTCAGAGGGTTGTACATGCTCTTTCAATCCGTGTGACAGAATTTATATCGATAGATAAATGTTATTTGGGAGCATGTATTTCAGAATTTAATCATGGAATATTTTAAATATAATATTTCAAATGTATCCTTTGAAATTCCATACATTTATACAATGTATTTTAATCATACTCATCCACCACCACCTCCCTCCAGCTCTGCCTAGTGCCTCACACCATGTCTTTCTCCCACTTGCATGTTCTGAAAAACAAAACAAAACAAAATAAAAAACCCTATTATTAATAACTCCCTACACCCAATTAGTGCTGCCCATGTGCACATGGGTGTAGGGCTACCCGCCAGAGAACAGGCATCTACTAGTAGCCATGTCCCTAAAGGAGAGTGACTTTGTCCCTCAGGAGCCACCAATTGCCAAATCTTCTCCACTAGGGGCAAAACTAAAATTGTGTAGAAGAAAAAGTGGACAAATTAAACTATATAATTCAATTACATGTATTATTTAAAGGCCATCAATATAAAGTGGCTTGTGTAGAGTTGTCTGTATGTTACAACATGACAATTTTCACATGTGTATGAAGTTCTGGTAAGAGGCAGTTATTGTTATTATTTATTTATCTTCCTCCTCCTCCTTCTCTCTTCCCACCCCTCCTCATCTTCATCTCAATGAAATGAAAATAAACAAAATGGGATTAATGGGAAGGAGGAGCTAGTGTAAAATGCCAAGCCTCTGCTTCCACAAGGGCAGGATGCTTTGATAACAGCTGATATGACCGGCTGTTGCCATTGTGTGGAGAAATCCTCACCACTTTCCTGACAGCACTAGAAGCCAGGCTCCTGCCCTAGTGCGGACTCGGCCTTAGCAATCCTGGCTCTCTCCTCATCTATTCCTCGGACTTCTGGACTGATGATGGGGTGAGCTGAGGCTGGTGAGAACAGAGATGGAGGAAAGCAGTGGTCCTTGATGGTTTAATTACAGTGCAAACAACAGTCCACCAAAGTTTAAAAACTCCTAACAGCTTCCAAAGTGTTTAAAAAACATGCTGCCAATTATTACTTTTAACAGATACTTTATATTTTGAAATAAAGACTCAGAGGAAGTTGCAAAAGTACTGTGTAGAATTCCCTTGTGAACATCACCCAGTTTCACCTGATGCTATCATATGTTGCTATAGGACATACCAAAACTAGGAAACTGCAGTTGTTAAAACTCGCTGACCTCATTCAGATTTCACCAATTTTTATGTGCACACATATATTTGTATGTGAATGTGGTTCTACTCATCTCTATCTCATATGGCAACACATGTAGTCATTGCCTCAGTCAATACACAGATGTGGCCAATCAGTATTAAGTGGGAAATTCTTTGTACCATCCTTTATATTAGCCCAACTGATAGCTCCAGGGTTCGTCAGGAGAATGTTAGGTAAATGCCACCTACAATCTTTAATGGATGATTTGCCTTTTCCCCAAGCATAAGGTTCATAAACTTAGAACTATATACAAAGCACTAGACTAAGTCCTTTATAAAGACACAATATTCTCAAAACAGTTCTAGGATGTATTAGTAATTCACATTATTCCCATGTTTGAAAATAATCTAGCAGACACACCCAACCTTTTAACACTGAGACATGGCATTGTCATCCACAAAGTTCATACTAAAGAACCATGCAATCAAGTTTGAAAATTCAAACTTGGGCCATACCTATGGATATCCTGGACTGCATGTAGCCTGTAGACCATGAGTTGAATACACCCAAAGGGCTCCTGATTAATTTACAGCAGTTTGAAGCTCCTCTATGGGATGTTCACTGTGAAGACCCTGCATTCCCAATTGGCCAGCCCTGGCCACTTTTCTTCACCCACTTTGGAATGGTCTCCATCTCTGTGTGAATAAGTCATGTTGAGCTCCTTCCTGCCTCATTGTTTTTGTGCCTGGAACACTGCATTTGGATTTTCAATGGCTGGCTCTTTGTCCCTTTTTCTTATCATCTCAAACTTAGTCTTCTCAAGATTAAGAGAGACTTTTTTTTTTAACATACACAATTATAACACACAACTCCTAAATATGGGCTTTTTAGATTCAGTAAAAATACAAGACATCCAGTAAAATAAGACTTGGCTAAAGAACAACTACAATCTTTTGGTCTTCGTTCCCTATAATATTTGGAATGCATATGTACTAAAAACTGTTGTGATTTGTCTATTACAGCAATCAGTTATAGTACTCTTATTATCTCTCTAGAGTTATTCACTCTTAAAAATTCTATTTATTTTCTTACTCCCTGAACCCCACTCAAGTGCTCCCTACGTGTTCACAACTGTTTCTTCAATGCTGATCACTGCCTGGCACACACAGAGAGTCAATAACTGTTTGTTAGAAGGATAAGAAAAAGACAATCTGAGACTGGCCACACCTCCAGGGCAAATTGCTGGGCAGAAAGGAGAGAATGCCCACTTTAAGTAATCAAACAGCACTGTGCCCAGGTACTGTGGAGGAGGGAAGGGCACGCTGTTACCAGCCTTGCAGAAGCGTTCCTGTGGAGTCAGAAAACCCTGGAGGCATAGATTTGGGAAGACGCAAAATCGAGACGACAGAAAAAGCCCCTTTTGATCAGTCTTCCAACAAACTGCAAGAAGTAACTAAAGAAAAAAATCTGTTTGAGTGAAAAGAACAAGTCTGAACTCTGAATAGGGTCACAGGCAGTGGGCACCTGCCCATCTCTGTCCAAGGTGAACGAACGCCCTGAAACTTACTCTAAGGGTTAGCTTTATTGTCAGGTTTTGGGAACTGTCAAATCTTAATTATAAGTAAAGTCACCGCACACGCGAACAAAGAGCTTGGAGGAGTGGATGGTAACGAAGTCAAGACAGAAGACATCAAACTCTCCTCTTGAGCCCGGGATGCCCAACCCAGTGGAGGCAGCCTTTGGAGAGGTTTATTGCTCCCGCAGCTCCCTGGGGGACCCACCAGGGGCACATAGACTCCACTCTGGTGCACTTCGTCTGATCGACTTCAGCGGGATTCGTCCTAAAGCAAGCTGTGTGTGGGACTGTAGATCCATACTTAGGTCAAGCCCGCTCCAGGCCCTACACAGCTCCACAGGACTCCTGCCTGCCCTCCCACCTAGGAGCCAGAGGATGGTCCTGGGCGGCTTAGCCTGGGCTGCTGGTCCCCGACGTCTACGGCAGGACGCGCCCTGTCGTGTGAGCCGCGTGCGCGCCCAGTTTGGAGGCAGCCTCTGCCACTGACAGGTGCCGGCCTGAGGGCGCGGGTGTGGTCCCCTGTGCAGCTGGCAGCCTACGCCGGGTGCCCACAGCTCCCCGAGCTCCTAGCCGGCGCGAAGGGGATCTGGGGCGCGGCCTGGAGGCGCTCAGTGGACTGGAGCGGCGGAGTTCCGTGCTCGAAACTTTGCAGGCGCTGCGGCCGCTTGGTGACAGCGCCAGCCCAGCCGGGCAGGTGCTGCGAGCAGAGGCGACGACACTCCGCGGCGGGAGGGCCTCGGCCGCAGCCGCTTTGCTCCGAGCTGGCCTGAAGCCGCTGGGCACTCCTGGCTTGTGCTGCTGCGCCGGCCGCCGCCGCCGCCGCCGCCGCCTCCACGCTCGGGGAGGAGGCGCAGCCGGAGAGGGCGGAGGAGAGGCAGGAGGAGGTGACAGGAGGTGCCCCGGGTGGAGGATGGAGCCCCGGGCAGCCGCGGCTGGCGAGCCCGAGCCCGCCGCGTCCCCCTCCTTCCAGGCCCGGCTCTGGAAGAACCTGCAGCTGGGTGTGGGCAAGGGCAAGGGCGGCGGGGGCGGGCGCACCGGGGGCCCCGAGCGCCGCACTGCGGCCACTCCGACCCCATCCCCGCCGCCCCCGAGGGCCACGCAGGACGCACTGGCCGGTGTGGCGAGTACCGGCAGCAGGTGGAGTGGCTTCAAGAAGCGGAAGCAAGTGCTAGACCGGGTGTTCTCCTCCTCGCAGCCCAACCTGTGCTGCTCCTCGCCTGAGCCCCTGGAGCCCGGAGGAGCAGCCAGAGCCGAGCAGGGGTCCACGCTGCGCCGCCGCTTACGCGAACATCTGCTGCCCGTGGCTAAGGGGCCGGCGACAGCCGTGGGGACAGCGGGAGTGACGCCTCCTGGCGGACGCTCCCCGGACTCAGCCCCTTCTTCTTCCGCCTCATCCTCTCTGTCCTCTTCTCCCCAACCGCCCCCGAGGGGAGACCGCGTCCGAGATGAAGGCACACGGCGTGGGGGCTCTGGGGTGCACCTGTGCCACCAAAAGAGCTCCTCTCTTCCCGGCACCGCGTGTCTGGAGCAGCTGCTGGAACCGGCATCACCTCCCGTAGAACCGATACGGGGTCCCACGGAGTCCCAGGCTCTGACAAAGGGTGAAGAGCGAGGCTGCAGCCAGGTGAGTGCCAGGTGCGGACACCGGGCAAGCGTGCGGGCCACCCCTCCAGTTTCGGGGTGCCCTTCCCTGGAGAGGGTTGTAGGGTGCGCGCGCCTGTGGACCACTAGCTGGCTGAAACCAAGCAAAGGAAACATTTCGCTCCCGTTTAGTAGTGACAGAGTCTAGACTTGGACCCTGACTTGACTTTGATAAGAATGACACCTGTCTCCAAAAGCAGCCTGAGTAGCTTAATGAACAGCTAAAGAAAAGTTCCGAGGTAGCGTGGGTTTCTTTGGAGGTGTCCTGCAACATGCCCCACTAAGCATTTTCTTGACTAAAGAAAAAGCCAACGGACCCCAAAACTTAGGAAAGGAAATTGTAACTGCGGGTGGCCTTATGGAAGGGGCGCCATCTGAAGCAAATGGCTAGCAGTCGTAGGAATGCGGAAAGGTGAAGCTATGGCTTAGATTCGGATTTCTCGCAGGAGTGTGCTAACTTCTTGGTAGCCTCTTCTTGAAACTTTCTGCTGCAGGTGGATCACTGTCCCACGGGGCAGCAGGATCCGAGTTAGTCAAGTAGATATGTTCCTATGGTCTAAAGTTTAGCAGTCATCAGAAACACGCGCTTCTAACACATGCTACTTTACACATCACGCCAACTACTCAGACCAGAGTTTTTCACCTGTTTTAATAGAAATTTTAAGCCATCAGGTGACTTCATTTACTCCTATCATTTTAAGAGGGATCTTTCCTTTTTATAAATGTCTATCAAATCATGTTCATGGTGGAAAATACTTCAAATATTCAACTCTACGAGGGGCCTAAAATGATTGTTTTCTCTCAGTATGTCTTGCTCATTAACCCTCATTACAATAATTTTGATCATGTTAAAGTTACATTAAAACTTTAATTAAATCAATAGCCAGCTAGAAAAAAATCCAACCATTTGCTGAAATTTACTGTTTGATTATGTGGCAAGAAGAGCTAGAAAAACTGTGCATCTTATTTACTATTTTCTTAGTGTAGTTTCTGAAAAAAAGGGCAGAAATCAGTGTAACCCATTTTTTTCTGTCTAGCAGATGTTTGATGTTCTAGAGAAAGCTTATTATATCAGATTATGTAGACACCATTGGCAGAGAAACACCAAATAACTTTATTTTTTGTCTTGAAACAGACCCGAATAGATAGACATCTTTTTTATTTCAAAAGCAAAGTGAAAGTATTTTTAAAGTAATTAAAAAATAAGTGTATCTATCAATCAGGGTTCTCTAGAGGAACAGAACTTATAAAAATAATAAAGAAGATTGAATGGCTTACAGACCGTGGTCTAACTAGTCCAACAATGGCTGCCTATGAACGAAAAGTCCAAGAATCCAGTAGTTCAGTTCATGACTCTGGAGGTCTCAGTTGGTCTTCAGCATATACTAGAATCCTGAAGTACACTCTCATGCCAGTGAAGGAATGGATTTTCTAGCAAGAGTGAGAACAAGCAGGCAAAAAGAGAGCTTCCTTCTTCCATGTTCTTTACATAGGCTGCCAGCAGAAGGTGTGGTCCAGATTAAAGGTGAATCTTCCCACCTCCAAAGATCTTGATTAAACATCTATCTTCCTGCTTGAAAGATCTGGATTAGAAGTAGTTCTTCCCACTTTAAAGGATTTAATTTTAAAAAGATCCCTCAATGGTGTACCCAGTCACTCAAGTTTTGGTTAGTTCCAGGATGTAGTCAAGTTGATAACCAAGAATCATGTACAAATACTATGAGTTAAAGGAAATGCTTTTGAGTTCCTATATAGTTCTAATGCACATTTATTTTAATGCTAAGAGATTGTTTTGATGTTTTATCTTTCCTAACTTTTAGAGCAACACATAATAATAGAATGTTATGGTGAAAGTTAATTTATAAAGTTACTTTGTAGTGTATGGAACTGCAAATATTTTCAAAGCAAAGAATTCATCTTTGTGTTATTCCTCCCCTCTTTTAAAAACCAAAAGAGTTTTGAAACTATCAACTTTTCTTCAAAAACACTCGTATGTCTTTTGTGTGGGAAAGATCTAAGGTGTTTTTGGAGACCATATTGAAATAATATTGTTGTGTCTGATTTCATCATATGCTAGGCACGCTATAGCATCACATGATTTGATACTCACTTCATTCCTGTAGAAGTTCTCGTTAATTTATGGATTAGAAGAGAATGTCCAAAGAAGTGATCAGTGTGTGGTTAGTGTGCAACACAGAGGTGTGTACTCAAGTTGGTTTTCACCATCCTTCCCATGATTCTCACCAGTTCTCTGGACTTCTAAACCTTAACTTCTGGCATGGGTTTTATCCGTTTAATACGAGAGGCGTACAAGTCTGCACGTGTTGTAAAATGTGCCTCTATCGCTACCACAGTTTCACAACAGGTCATTTCTATTCCTTTATGATGCATTGTTACACACCTTACTACGCTTAGAAATCACATGTTAATTATGTTATATTTCTAAAGAAGATTTTCATTATAAGGAACCAATATTTCAAGGTAGACATCAGAGGAATGTTATAAAATTTGAAGTAAAGTTTAAAAATTAATAATGATTGTTGGCACAACAAATAGTAAGCCCTAAGGGGATGGCCAGGAATAGGAATGTCCCTCGCCTCTGCTGCTCCTGGCCTTGTTCTCGGAGCAGTGGAGAGCGTCTTCTGCAATGGCTTGCAGGTATGTTTCCTCAACAGTCTGACTAATGAAGCAGAGAGCAGTGAGTAATCTTTAAAGTACCATTTTGTTCAACTGAAAGGATGAACCCACCTCCAAATAGGGAAGACAGGAAAGGGAATTGAAAGCTGGAACTGAATCCGTGAAGATGCCCAGGGGCAGGCTTCAGTTTGTAGCATCATGCTTTTCCAAGTACATCTCAGGGGCTTTCCTTTCCCTCTCTGCTTCTCATCCTAAGAAACCTGGGCATTGGGAGGAGCTTACAGCACATGAAGCATTATTTACTGGTCACCAGCACAGAAGGGCACACACAGAAGATAAGACAGTGAAAGCATTTATTATCTCAATCTGATTACCATTGTGCAAAAACTTAAAGGCAACAGACACATCACAATTCATTGTAAAATTAGGAAAATTCTTGAAAATTTGTTTTATTTTTTGCTTGTTCCTGGCGTCAGCCATGTTCTTCAACACACTCCCCATTTCTCCACCCCCAGACCAGCATGAGGTCCCAACAACATATGTGCTTACATTCTAACACTAGGTAGAGATGTTAAGCAAAAGTTAGAAAATCGGTTTGACTGCTGAGGGAAAGATTTGGGAGTCACATGTATGCTGATTAAGCTTAACTAACTGCTGCCTCCCATGTAGCCTTCTCATTATCTTTTCTTTAACCAAACCACTTTTGAAAAACACTAACAGACATAACAGTGCGTCCTCCTGTATTATTTCAAATGTTCTGCTTTGGCAATAAGATGAAAAGAAAGAAAGAAAAACCATTTTTTTTTCCTGCTGATTCTTGTTCACGTTTTGGGCCATATTGTCATAGCAGATGCATTCCATTTTCTATGACACATTTGGGAAAGATGCTTTCTCAATTTGTGTACCCATCAAAAATATGCCAATTTTATGTATTCTATCTTGATGAGTTACTAAAATTATATTTCACTAGAATCAGAAAGTCAGTATTTTCAGAAAATCTGAGGAATGAGTATGTTGCAATTTTTAGTATCTAAGTGAAAGCCTATGGTGTTTATAAATGTTAAAGCTTTTATTGAAATTGGTTTCACAGGAGGAAAAAGGAGAGGGGAGGGGAGTAAACTACTCGGTGTGCGGCAGAGAAGCTTTGACAGCAGGAGGGGCTGCTGTGTCTTCAGATGAAACTCCACGTAAGACAAAATGTAGGAGAACATTTCAAGCCTATACATTAAGTGCATCCGGACTTTTTAATAGCTTACATTGAAGTGTTATTTGGGTTAATGTTTTGCCAGGTGCTTTAGATATTGCTTCAAAGAACATAGCTTAATCTTGGGGAAAGCACAGATTTAAAACAATAATTCCTAATGTAAATGACCAACACCACTAACAAATCTAATAATGTTAAAATCGATCTCCTAAAAGCGTTTTGTGTGTGTGTGTGTGTGTGTGTGTGTGTGTGTGTGTGTGTGTGTTTTGTTAGCTGAATTTTATAAGAAAGTTAAGGTGGGATGTGGGCCTGGTTTCAGAAACTGTATTTATCAAAGTCAAAGCGAGAGAGGCCCAGTTTGCAGTTCCCTGAAGCTTGGGTTTGCAGTGTGGCTCATTCTTCAACTACAGGGACCAGAAGTTCATTCCAACAAGAAAAACAGATGCCGTTAGAGGGAAACTTGGAGTGTAATGTTTCCTTCTAACCTGATGTGGCTAAACTGTGTATCTGGCAGATTGTTGGACCTGGAAACCTACAAAGGGAAGTAGGTTAGTATTGGACGTGAGCTGCAGCTGTGATTGTCAGTAATGTTGAGCAGTGGGAGGTTTGTGAGCACTGTAAATAAACGAATGGCAGAAAACAAATGCACGGGTTCCCCAGGTGTCTCATGCAAACATTTTACTTGCCATGATGAAAAAACTACTTAAGATAACTAAAGCAGTACTGATAATACCACAATTTCAGTAATAAAAAAATTATGCATAACTTTTAGTAAGTGTGTAGTCATTATCACGGATATGTACATGAGCACTTGAAGGAAGAAAACAGAACTAATATATTAATTTAAAAATAAGATATACCCCTCCCTTTCTTTTGGAACAGAATGAAAATAGTGGATTATTGTGCACATGAAAGTTCCCAATGTCTTTGCCACTCTAAGGGAACATGTAGTATGGCTTCTTTACTCATAGTGGTGAGAGTTTTACAAACCCTAAATTAATGAACAGTAAATAGTATGTCTATGTTCCAGTGTACTGAAATGCAGGCCACGACCCCGCGCCCCCCCATGGCTGTGTAACTGAACCTGAGGATCATGGAAATTTCAGCAACAGTAAAACATTTCTGAGCATGTGGTGGCCAGA